CTGGTTAGCGAAACCACATCCACTACCCATGATAGGTCTTACTATTAGATTGCGATAGGTACATGCTGCAAAGGTTAAACACACGATTTGTGTCAAAAGTGATCTATTATTATAGGTCTAATTAGAATATATTGACATACTGGTTACAAAAATCATTGTCACTATGCAAAGTAAGCACTAACATTGTAGAAGGGAAGGTATGCGATGAAAAGATCAATGTCGCCAATTTGCCTGAAAAAAAGAACTTGAATAACTATGTCTGCCGGACAGTTCAAGGCCATAGTGGAAAGCTGTGATTTTCGTAATTAGCATAGCCATTACCTCACGAGGCGCTATAGTAGATTCTGGCTTATTTTGAAAGCCTTTCTGAGCCCTGTGAAACAAATCTATCATTTCTGATTTAGCGAAACCTAATTTAATGAACAAGCCAAGACACCACTAGAGAGAAATCTCCCTCTCAGATGGCATACATTACATGTCACCAAAAGCTTCGTTTTCTTTGAAATAAGTACGGGAGAAACTATCCGACCGAATATTCACTATAACTTGGGTCTGATATGATTTGCTCTAAACTTACGGCAACTCTCCCACACGACCGCTATGGGATTGTTGTGTCTATGCCTCAACCAAATATCCTAGAAGGTACGCTGCATGAAGCAATCGAAGATTGACTTGTATATACGTAGAATTGAGAAACGATATTACGTCCATCATGGTCCTACCTAAGGCGCCGATAGTTCTGTCAGTTTCTTTGCTTAGATTTGGTCTGCCCTTACGCTAACGCTAAAGAAAAGAATATTAGCGTACATCGACGAGATCCACTAGTTAGTACCGCAATTCTGCGTAAGGGACGTTGCATGATTCCTTAGAAAATCTCTTTATCCATCATTTATTTTATTTGGTATGTTTAGGTGATTTCCCGATCCAGATCAAACAGTCGAGAAACTGCTAGAGGTCGGCTCATTAGCTTTAACAAACACCATTTCGTTCTTTATGAATTTTCAAGTATGATTAGAGACCTCATAAGGAAAACTTGTTTTTACTTGAAAATTTTTTAAGAAGCAAAAACAATTTTTTCTGACCTACCGGCTCAGCTTACGCCGTCAACGAGAGAAGCGATGGCAGCAGCTAGAGAAGGAAGTAGGTGAAATTCATTTTGTTTATTCCTTTTTGCTTTCAATTACCAAATATTGCAACTTCAGAGAAAATCGCAGCATCAATGACAACATCCAAAGACCAGAATCAAGGTAGTTTCTACTATTCAGATTTCTTAACAAAAGCTCAACAAAATGAATATTAAAGCTGTGTTTAGAGCAACTACCAAAAGAAAATGCTGATAAAGCCGCTGTGGAAGAGCAGATGAATGAATTAGGGACAAATTAGACAAATAAGTATTAAATGAGATAAAGCTTAGAATTACTTGGCCTGTCTGTTATATTTTTTGGTCAAGAAGTCTACATCTAACAAGCACTTACTCAGGGTTTGAACTACAAAGCATTACTGCAAAATAACGGCATATTAGTACCAAATTCGAACATTTATTCACTGAACTTGCTATAGCCCTTCCCCTTGATCGCAGCGGATCCTCTTCAAAATGATGTGGGGCTATTCCATTGGTGACGCGAAGATGTAGATACTTCGAAAATCTATAAGCATTGTTATGTATATACTACAAATGTCGTCTGAGACGT